ACGTAAACTTTATTGCTCTACCATTTATCTGCCCATGTCTGGGCTGGCTTGCTTAAGCCTCTTTTTGACTTTTTACTGGTTTGGAGCATCTTTCAGCATCTGTCTAAATTTGTTGTCGAGGGCAACTTATCTTTATCCTTTAAATAACCACTTGTACTGTACATATTAGCGGAGCACATAAAGATGTTAGTTTTAAGCAACTACTTGTGTCATTTTCCCCCACGTTACAAGTCAGGCTTAGAGCATTATCTCTAATGAAACATCAGTGGGCTGGTAGGAATTAAATGCTTGAAGTGGTATTAAAAAGACTTTGCCGTTACATGACTGCAGGAATGTGGGATGATTAAAACTCATTAAGCATCAGGAAAGATAGGAATTTTTACCTTATTTTGTGTTCAGAGTTAGAGAACGAGATGTCTGAATTCCGTTAGAATTTCTGATAGGGGTTTTTCTGTTTGTTTTTAACAAAACCCTTTGTTAGCTTGCTCTCCTAGGAAGAAAATTACAGCATTTTTTATCTCAAGCAGCAAACAGGTAACCTTGTGACCTTTTCAGTAAATCCTCAACCGAACCTCTGAAATTAGGGTGATTTAGCATTTTATGGCGCAGGACAAAAATCTCTAATTCTGTTTCCAAATAGTGTATCCTGAACACACATTTTATTAAGCTCTTGACTCATTCAGCCATGTGTATTTTGTAAAGTTCCTATGGTTATTGTTTTACAATAGCTGCTTCCAGAAGCATTGTAAGGGTTTCAATTAATCAGCTCTTTGTGTGCTTCAGACTATGCAAATTTATCACATCAGGCCATTCAGCAGCTCATGGGAAAGCAGTGTACAAACTGCATTGTCTTCTAGCACCTCCTCTCATTTAGAGTGATGTTTTTAATAAGAAAACTAATCAAGTTTACTTATGCATTATTTATCTGTTAATTTTAATTCTGTTCTTTACCTTTTATGTCAAATGGGATGTAGCAAGTGATATGATAGATCACTGAATGAGTAAACATCGAACAAAGCTTATATGATGCAGCACTTTTTTTCTTCTGAACTTGTTTTGTACTTAGTTAGCCAATCCAGGGCTATTTAGAGGGCTCTGAAGCAGGTGTATGTTTGTGTTTAATTAACTTGCTAATTTGTACTGATCTGCTCGTTACTTGTCCACAATATACGGTGCTGTGTCGTACCTGCAACTCCTGCTTAATTTTGCGATGTAGTCTGGTTTCTCGTAGGAGTATTTACAGTTTCTGTCAAGCCTGGTAAATCTAAAATGGACACCTTCTAAGTTACTTTTAGCTCTTTTACCACGATATAATTAGAATAAATAAACAAGCACATTTAGTAACGTGCTGCTTTCCATCTTGCTGATAGAAGCTGGTGTTACCGCGGCTGCTTTTCAGTTAGTCTCCTTTGCTCCCCAGCGTCCCTCCTGCTGGCAGTAATTAGTTTCCTGTATTAGGTTGTTTTGACTTATTTGATTATTTTTTTCCCTTTGGCATGTGCGCGCGGAGAGGGCGCTGGCCGGAGCTGGGGCACGGCTTTCCCATGCGGGCGCCGTTTCCTCCCTGCCCCTTCGCTACGTGCAGCTCGGCAGCTGGTGAAGCCCCCGTTCCAGCGACGCGGGGTCTGGAGGCCTGTGGTTCTGCTGGTTAGAAAAAGAAACTCTCGAAGGACAAAAGTGGAGGGTTTGCGGGATCTCCGAGCTCTGTCCTTGGGCCCTGCGTGAGGACAGGGGCCGTCCCTACGCAGAGGGCTGTCGTTTAGTGCCCACGGTACAGTGCCACTGCGACCCGCTGCTTGTGGCTGATTTATGCTTGCAAGTAAGACTGTTAGAGAAATCTGATTTAAGCCTGTTCTCATTTAAGCTGTTACTCTTGCAGTTAACTGCCGTGCACATTAATCCACCTTTTTTTGAGAGAGAGAGAAATCTTCAAAGTATTTGCTACCATTGTGATTAATTTCCCGCTAAGATGACATCATGAAATTCATATACAAAGCTTAGTCTAGGGTTGGATTTGGGTTTTAATCGAGAAGAAATGAGGTTTAGCAAGCTACTGTATGCTCTCTCGCTCACACAAACAAGCCTCTTGTTAGTGCACATGCAAAGAAAAAAACGTGGTTTTGTGTTTTGTCTGGGAAAATGTTTGCGGCCTCTTCTGACTTTCACGGGTTGATTGTTGTGCTGGATGCCAGCCCCGCCGCGGCCCACGGTCGTACAGCACTTAGTGTGAAACCCTGTGGCTGAGTATCGGCTGGGCACATAAAAATGTGCGAAGCGGAAGATGTGGGTGAACGTGGCTGAACATCGGTATTTTCCATGTCCTTTTTGGCTCTAATATATTCTGCAGAACAGTTCTCATGGGATGCCTAAGCTAGTAAGAATCAGGAAATCTCTAAAAACTTCAAGTAAGAGCCACCCGCCCAAGGTGCGCACTAGTTTAAGAGGGTCCTGCTCATGAAAACTTTGTGGGGAGCAGTTGGGCAGCTCTGCCGCGAAACGCAGCCCTTCCTCGCACGGGGCACGGTTTGGACATTGAGGCTGTCCTCAATCCAGCGCTTTCTTTTTCTCTTCATTATTCCCTTAGCCGGTTCCAAGCCGTAATTCCACTTGGGAGGGATTAATTCCCCCGGTCGGTTTTTCCCGCTCTCCCGGCGGTGCTGCGGGAGGCCGGAGGAGGAGCGGAGCCGGCGCTGCCCTGCGAGCAGCAGCTCCCGAGCGCAGAGCTCGCCCGGGGCAGAGGCTGCAAAACCAGTCGCAGCCTGCGCTGTGAGGTGGGCGGCAGCGACGCCGCGGCGTTCGTGACTTTTCCAAAGGGAAAGGTGCCCTTTTTCCAAGAAAAAACGAAGTTTCTTAAGACACGGGGGGAAGAAACTGCTCTCTGTCCCGTTCTCTAAATATGTGCGTGTGCCCTAGGTATAAGGTATAAACTCAGCCACTGCCTGAAATCCAGAAGCTTAGAACTGAGAGTTTTTTGGGGGGTTGGTTTGGGGATTTTTTGTTGTTGCTTTTTGCTAAAATAGGAACTAGCGAGCTTCCCCCTCGCTGGATCCTGTCTAAATATTTTGTTTTTTAACTTCTAAGCTCATTATGCCGTCTTTGTGTTAACTTGTATTAAAATCTGTCAGCTATGACTGGTCTCATAACCACAGCCAGCGGACCAGAATAAGTTAATTATTTACTTGTGTCACTAGTGCTCTTCATCTAATGAAATGCACAGCTGTGTTAGATCTGCCGTTGGGTGTGTAGGGCCCTTTGTTAGACAAGTCAGCGGAGGGTAGAAGCCGCGATGATGGAGAGCCCTCCGTTCTTTCTGCTGTTCTGCCTTTCTGTGTCGATTTCATGGATCTTTTATCATTCACTTTCACACAAAACAAACAACACAGCGGCTGTCTGCTATGGGAACCGGCTTGGCGTATAAAAGGTTTTCGGAGCCTAAAGTAATTTCAAGTTAGCGAAGATTTAATTTTGGGCTTACAGGTGCCCTGAAGTCCAGATGCAACCCAGCGCTTTCTTAGAAGTTGAATGGCAATGAGGAAAAATATATGCGCTGTGGAATATATATATACAAACATGCTTAAATACATTTTTTATATATATATTTAGGATAAAAATGCTGTGCACAAGAGAGAGGGTGTTTGTGGCGGGGTTTTTTTTCAGTAAATTATTGCTGCTTGGCAGGAAAGGGTAGAAGGATGTTACTGATATGTGATAGTAGAAAAATGAAAATTAGCTTGTAATAGGCTTAAGAACTAAATTTTAAAAGCCCTGGACGCTCCCATTCCTTTTTATTTCCCCGCTGCCTTCCCCCCGCCTGCCGTCCCTGCTCTCCCGCGCGCCCAGCCCCGTCCGCGTGGGCAGAGGGGGAGCAGCTCCCTCCGGAGCAGGCGCCCGTGTCCCCCTGGAAGTGCCTGGGGGGCAGACGCCTTCTTAGCGCTGTGACAAGCCCCGCGGACCCCCCCCTGCTCCGCTCGGCTCCGCGCGGCTTCCAGCGCGGGCGGCGGCGGCGGCGGCTGAGCTCAGAGCCGGTTCAGCTCCAGCGGCGTCTGCGAGAAATTGTCCAAGTGAAACAGTAGCTTCGGTTCAAAGGAGCCCGGGCTTAAGCAGCTGCAATTCTGCACCTGATTTTCGGCGTTAGATCTCCCCGTCATTTATAGCTGCAGCGTTTTCATCTGCAGAATTCGCTGTGGAAACAGTTGTAAGAGGTGGGAAAGAAAAGTCTGTGATGGTGATAGACCATTTTAAATGAGTCTCGGGCTCTGGTTGTCGTGCCTCAATAGTTTTATAGTTTGTCTTTTTGGTAGTTTCTTTTAAATCCAGTCATTCAATAAGACTGAGAAAACTTCTGAAACTTCTAAAGACATATTTTGCCAGGCCTTGTGCACCAGCTGTAAGCAGTCTGGGAGCGGATTGTACTTTAATCCATGAAGGGCAAGCTTCGCTTTGTAAATGAACGCTACCTGAAAAAAAGTTTTTTAATCTTTCCCCTGTTCATCTCCCTTCAACCTGTAAAGTCCTGATATATTCATTTATTTTTATTTATTTACAATATTTGGCAAAGATACATATGATAAGCAGATTTTGAATCAATAATAATTTCAAGTTCTCAAAGAGATGTTGTAAGAGGCTTGATTTGTTTATTTATTTATTATTTTCTGTCGGGCAATCATAGCAGCAGCTCTAAAACCCACCTCTCCTATGAGGTGTTCCACAGTGGCTGGGCAGAAGTTCCTGGCTGCCCCTGAGAGCTACGCACAGCTTTCTCCCCTAAAGTGCGAGCTCGCAAATGTCTGGAAGTGTTTTGTAGGGACGTGCTCCTTGTGCCAGTTCTGCCTTCCAGCCTGCAGGCTGCAAGCCCTGGTCGTGGTAACGAATCTGGGTAAAAAGTGCTGCGTGAGAACGAGGAGGAGGAGGAGAGCACTAAAGAAAACGTGGTGCCGAGCGGCGGCCCCGCTGGTGGTTCGCCGCGCGCTGCCATGTTATGTTCTCTCTCGCGCAGGGGTGTGCGGCCTGATTGTGCCTCAGGAGGACATGCCGTTCTGCGACACAGGAATCTGCCCCGATATCATCATGAACCCGCACGGCTTCCCGTCGCGCATGACGGTCAGTGGTTACGTCCCGATGAAAGGGAGCGGGTCCCCAGGAGAGCAGGCTGAGCGGCTCGGCCCGAGGGGGCCGGGAAAGCTCGCGGCGCTGGCAGCGCGCTGCGGGCATCGTGCCGTGCGCTCCTGCCCTCCCAGGAGTAGCCAGCAATCTGTTTTGCATGATTCAGAACATCTTAATATAAAATGGATAGGGATTGGCCTCTTTGCTCATTGTATTCATGCCATTCTGCTAGCGCTTCACTTGCACTCTTCCCAGCTGAAAGATTCTTTTCTCCCTGCTTCTTCTGCGTTGACCAGGTTGCTGTACGATCAAGCCAACTGGGACAAATTGCAGGAGGTGCAGAGGGGAAAGGAGTTTTACTCTAATTCCAGAGTCACATAACTTCTTAGCATTACATCCCATTGCCTGGAGTTAATGCATGTGCATTAACCCGTGCTGCGGGTCACACTAAATATATCATGGCTTGGCCTGAATATGGCATTTCTGATTATTTCATACAGTCTCTGATCTTTTTTCTTCATTAGCTTCTTCCCTTTCATTCTCCCTTGTGCTGGCCAGTGTGTCAGTCGCTGAGGCCGTCTGGGAGAGCAGAAGGCCACCCGGCATCGTGCTCACTGTCCAGACAAGTGGGGAGAGCCGGATGGCCTAGCTGGGCTTTAAGGAGGTTTCCAGCCCCTGCCATGTGTCTGTTTTTCCCCCTTCGCCCAGGAGCACTCGCTGTTCCCGTGGGTCTCCAGCGGCTGCAGCTCGTGCCGAGCGGTGCCGTAGGAGCAGCAGCTCCCCGGGCTGTGCGTACACCGTGTGCAGCCGCAGCTCCCTGGCCGGCCAGAGGGCAGGGAGTGAGCAGGGTTTCCCCCCGGCATAGGTCCTGGAGGACGCACACAGCGTGGGGTGTTTTTAAAGCCCAGGAGCTGTGTGGCAAGGGAGAGGGGCGTCCAGGGGAGGGCAGCGTTCCCTGTTCACTCTTTTCTCCTTGCACAGGTGGGAAAGTTAATTGAGCTCCTGGCTGGAAAGGCCGGCGTCCTAGATGGCAGATTTCATTACGGAACAGCTTTTGGAGGCAGCAAAGTTAAGGACGTGTGCGAAGATCTCATTCGCCATGGTTATAACTACCTAGGGAAGGACTACGTAACATCTGGTATCACTGGGTAAGAATCTGCTGCATCGTTTTAGATGTTCCAGGGGAGTGGGAAAATCCTGTTGAGACGCAGCTGAAAAATCTTCTCATTCCTCCAGAGCTCAGGAACGTTGTCCTCTTGTCAAGTCGCTCTGTGAGATGGAGAGAAGGGGCTGAGGAAAGGGGCGCTTCTCCCCTCCGCACACACATACACACACTTTTTTTTTTTTATAGATATACTCTGCAGTTTCTCATTTTAAGACTTACTGGTATTTGCATGACTGTGAAGTGTGAAGTGCCCATGTACATGTTGAAATCTCACAACTTCACATGAAGAAAAATAAAATCAAGGTTTGCTTTCTGAGACACTGTAAGTAATGTCAAGCTTGTGTAGGTAGTAATTTTTATCAGACAGATTAGCGTTTTCATATTGACTCTAAGAGGACTTTAAAATATGGATTTGGGGGCAGGTGCCTGTTCCTTGGGAATATTTTTGTGTGCTTTTTTTTTTCCCTCCTCTTTTTTTTCTTCCACTGATTACACAATGATTCAGTCTGGCATAATACTCTTAATCTGCAAACTTCCTGCTGTGTTGATCGGACTGGCTTCTGAGACGCGGAGTTCAAAGAACGTAAGATAGTTTAGGAACAGGAAAAGGCCATATGGCTCCACATGCCTGCCCGTCCAAAATGTATCTTAATCCTACCTTCCTGCTATTTTTATTATCCTCCCAGTCCCCCTTTTCTCTACAAGCAAGCTTAGGTCTCGCTTGTACTCCTTTTGTATGTTTTATTTTAATTGCTTTTCCTGCTAACTTGTTCCATATGTTGTTTATCTTTTTGTTTAAAATAGGTACATTTTTGTTTTCCCTACCCATTCCATATTCCATAAATTTTGTGTGAACTCTCTTTGTGTTTGAAACACTTTCTGTTGATACATTATGATAATTTTTAGCAAATTTGCCTAATCTCCTTTCCTTGGGAGAATAAGATCATCCTGCTAAAATTCCCCTTTTCCCTGTCCCTAAACTTAAACTTTTCCCTGTCCCTAAACTTAAACTTTGGCATACCTAGAGACTAGCAAAGTCTAGAGAATTTGCTTCAAGATAGTGGTAGTAAGAAAAGCTTTTTTTTTTTCAATAAAATGTCATATGTTTGATTTATTTGTTAAGAAAAGTGATGGTAAATACATGTGAAAGCTTGCAAATTCCACACGTCTAGTTATGTTTTATTATTTAGGTAGATAGGCAGCTTTTGGAGTAACACTACATCATGTCAGTAATGACTGAACGGGACATGCAGTTCTGTCGTCTCCTGCTTTTTACATTGCACACACACATATATATATATTTAATGAATCAAGAGCAGTGCTGAGCTTGGCTGTATTCAGTCTGGTATTTCTTAGTAAGTGCTGAAGGTGTAGCTGGGAAATGACTGAGTACTTTCAACTGGTGGTTTCTGATCTCCAGGTGCTTACACTGTTCTTAAAGTGGGGAGGGGGGTTGAAACACAGAAATCTTTAGCCAATTCTCCAGCTCCCAGAATGCGGCTAATTGCATATATTGTTTGTTTGTGTGTTTAATTCCTGCAGGGAGCCCTTGGAAGCCTACATCTATTTTGGCCCTGTGTATTACCAGAAGCTGAAGCACATGGTGCTGGATAAAATGCACGCGCGAGCGCGAGGCCCCAGGGCAGTGCTCACCAGGTACGGCCGGCGACGGGCGCCGAGAGGGGAGCTCCAGAGCACAGGGCTCCAGGGCAAAGTCTGCTTGCCCTGTGGGACGGGAAATGAAGCGCTCCTAGTTTGTAATACGCTGTTAAAGAGCAAAGGCTCTCCTCAATATTGACATTTGTAGTGCTTTAGAAAACTACTTTATGAGGAAAGAGGATTTTTTGGTTTGGTTTTTGTTTTGTTTTGTTTTTTTCCTCAAGTGAAGTCATTTTGACACTTAGTGTGAGTTAAACACTTAAGAATTGAAGGCTGATTTTTTGTTTGTTTGCTTTTGTTTCTCTGGATTTTTAATGGAACTTCAGCTGCCTTAGAAATCTTCATCCTGTAGCTGTTAGTAGATCCATAGAATGTCAGCTCTTCAAGAGCTGGAGTCAAATGCACATATTTTTTTTCCAAGAGACCTTCCCTTCTCTTAGTTAGATGGAAACTTTGTTTGGGGATCTCATTTTTTAAAGCTATTTTGGAATTTCATCTCACGGAAGAGCACACGTGTATGAACATGTACGTGACATCTGGGAAAGGGGCTACTGAATTTCAAGCAGATTGGTTCCATAGTTCCATAGGTTCCAGTGTGGTCAGAGTAACCAGAACCACTCTTCCCCCTCTGGAATTCAAGTAACACTTGCATCTTCAGAAGTCTGATGTATTTTTTTTACACTTGTTACAAATGATTATTAGATGTGGAAGGTTTTTAAAATCCTGATCTCTGTGAGTTTTAATAAGTTGGCAAAACTTAAGTATAATTAGGAACTTTAGCAAATATGGTAGTTTGAAATGCTCTAAACAAAATATGCTCTTAAATCTCTGGGGCAGCTCCATCATTAGATACTCTAGGTGCTTTACACAGCTCCACATACCGAAACAGTGGAAAAACGTTGGGTTTCACTGGCCAAAAAAGCCACTTGTGATTACTAGCACCAATTTTTATTTCTTCTCTCTTCTGTCATGCTTCAGTATGTAAAGATTGAAGTATTTAATAAAAATGCATGCAATATTTTGCATATTGCATATGAATGTCTCATCAAAACAGAGTACTCAATCTGCATCCAGGTGGTTTGTTACTGGATACAGTTGCGTTCTCAGATACTCTGGTTTTCACTTATTCAGGTGCCCCCTATAATGCAGAGTCGTGTCTGTGGCAGTGCAGCTGTGACTCGCAGGACTGCACCGTATTGCTAGTGCAGGAGCCAACATTTACTACTTCAACTGGAATAATGTGTTTGCAAGAGCAGCAGCGCTGATTTGGGGATTATTCCTGCCCATTGATGCTGTTCTGTTCCTACAGTTTGAAGGGAGGTATTCCTAGAACTGTAGCACATCTGTTCTAGAATACATGCAGTATTTTTCAAATCCTTTTTTCAAAGGCAGCCCACGGAAGGTCGATCCCGTGACGGTGGTTTACGTCTTGGAGAGATGGAGCGGGATTGTTTAATAGGTTACGGAGCCAGCATGCTTCTACTGGAGAGACTGATGATCTCAAGCGACGCCTTTGAAGTGGATGTTTGCGGGCAGTGTGGCTTGCTGGGATATTCTGGCTGGTAAGTTGTCTAGTTGTAATAGTTTCTTGTAAATCGTGGTGTCCCTGCTCACCTTGTGCATGTGGCATGTTTCATACGTGTTCATACTTCCAAGAACGCCCGTGAATCTAAGGTGCATAAAGCAAGCTGACATGGAGCACACGTGCCTCTAATTTAATGGAAATGTGCACTTGACTCTGGTGTTTCTCAGCTTGATGGTGCCCCTCAGATTCCAGTTAACAATTCCTTGTACTTGAATCAAAACCAGTGTCAAAATTCAAAAATGGTGTTTGGGGACCTGGTGCAGTTCTATTGTTCGTGTACTCCTTTTGGTCTGATTGAGTTTGAGACTGGAGTGAGTTTGTAGCTGGTGGACCAGGCATCTCTGCTGATGTGTGGGCCCAGCTAAGCAGCACCGGTGCAAATTGTTCCATCGCCATTTTTCTCTGCAAAAGGCTGTGACAAACAGCTGGGAGCACTAACCTCTTCTGGACCGTCCAGCTAACTCAGCAATAAAGAATGCCCCAGGCTTGAACTAAACGGCGGTTTCAGCAGATGTCGCAGGACGTTTTGGGGCTGTCTGGTCTCAGTGAGCTGCCAGGCGTCCATGCTTCCCTCTGCAGGTGCTGGCAGTTCAATAGCAGCAGACCAGCACCGGGATGAACCTTTCTTTCCTGGGGGCTCAGCCACGTAAGGTTGATGCAGCAGTTTGACTCACGGATTAAAACTGCCACAACTCTGCTAGTGTGGAAACACCCCTGAATGCATTACAGGGATGTAAGCCTAACTTAATTGCAGACCAGTTTACAGCACACTTAATGCCCAAGTGGGTGAGTTTGTGTTAACGTGCCCTGGAGGATGTGCATGTGCATCAACTTTAGCAGGCAGGTGCAGCCGTGCTCAGACTCCTTTTCAGACCGCCTGGAAGCAGGTTGCCCCCACACAGGGAGCTTAGTGGCTCTGCTGGATCATGCCCTGCCCTCACAACAGGTTCTTGCTGCACTGCTGAAATTCAGTAGGTTCCTGACCGAGTGCCTTGTGCCCAAGGAACTAATCTCTAGGGTAGCTAACAGTCTTGCCATCTTATTCTCTGTGAGTTCTGAGCTTGTCTTGATCAAACAAATTGTTTTTCCATATAGTGGAAGCGTGAATCTAGGTGACAAAACTGTGCAGCGTTCATCAGATCTAATACTATGACCTTTGCTCTTAACCATCTTTTCTCTACAGTAAACTTGAGACACTGTATTCAAAGTTACTCTGTAGCTTGCTGGAAATTCACCAGTCTTACTAGAAGATAGGGAATGTTGTTTGTGTGTCCTGTAGGGGGATGTTTTGTTTCGGCCTGATTTTGTTATAGCCACACAGGAAAACAGGCTTGTTAAAGGGATCGAATTATATGGGATACAAAGTTCTTGCAGTTTTTTTGAAGCTGATTTGGAGTGTCATGACAGAGGGAACAAAAAGGGAGCTTGTTGTGAGTTACTCTGCGGCAGGGGAAAAGCTAGAAAATTGGGGGGAGGATCAGGAGAGAGATAAATACCTCAAAAGAACATTGTTTGAAATTTGCATCATCTTGGATGGCAATATCAATGTATTAGGAGAGGTAGGAAATGAGGTTTTATTCACTTGGGTGCTTTGAGAGAATATTTTTCCATGATACAATGAAATATGCAAGTTAAAAGTTGCACCTATTTTCATCTTATCGATGTGAAAGTGACAGCTAACTGTTCTGGCCTTGGTCAGATCCTTCTTCTGAAGTGCATGAAGCCTGATCAAAAATAACATATCCTGTTTCTATGCCAGGAGCAGCAGCAGTTCTCCTCCTGTGGAGCAGAAGTGGTAGGTAAATTAAGCCAGGGCACAGCTGAAGCCTCTTCTGTATATCCTGCCATCGCAGGTGATTTTTAGTTAGACTCGGTCCTCCTCGCTTTTAGGCGATAGTTTTTGGGGGCAGGAGGAAAAGAAGATCCTGATTTTCTTGACTGTGCATGCACTGTATGTGACAAGTGAGGCCTCTTTGTCATCTGAGTCTCTTGGAGCTGCTGCAGTGCCAGTTAACAGCTCATGGAAGTTGTCTGAAAGAAAGGCCATTCCTTCGGTCAGCAGAGCAACCGCTCCTTATAAAGCACTGCATTAAAAATACTGTCATGCAGATGTGCATTAATTTTTTGACACACTTTGACTTTAAGAGCTGTTCTTAAATATTTTCAGAGACCAGATGAGTGAGGGCACCTTGAAGAAAATTAGATTTAAAAATATATATTTTCTAACAAAGATTAATCACTTTTAAAAAGTAACTAAAAGAAACTTCTCCCAGACAGGCATTCATGCCAGACATTCATGCAATTAGTGCTGTGAAACGCTGTCTGATGTGTGAGAGTAATCAATACTAGGTAGTTTCAGCTAAGTGATATAATATGCTGTGTTTGTCATTAGCTGAAGGAAGTGGCCCTATAATGAGTGTCACAATAGACACCAAGTCATTAGAGAAACTCAGAACTTCTAAACTGGCCTTTTCAGTGATTCTGGCATTTAAAAGGCATTGCTGTGAGAAACCATTTAGTAACATGTTGTTTGGTGACTAGCATTAAGGGCATTTGTCTAGGAGGAAGGGGTTATTTTTCTGTAGACAAGGATCTGGTCACAGGGTATATTTTTATGCAGGACAGTAACATCTGTGGTGAGGCCTGACGTGGTTCTTCCACCAGGGAAGGGGACTGTTGTGGCAGCAACAGAACTTGTCTCCATAAAAAAAGATTCAATAAAGGCTGACTGTGAGATTTTATGGCAAATACTTCCAATTTTCCTGTTGTACAGGACTCCGGTGGTGCAACGAGCAAGGCTTAGTCCTTTCATGATGGCAAGATGAGACGTTAGTCTGATCCATGGACTATAAGCAGAAAATCTATAGGCAGAAAATATGTTATCTCTGGTCCAGATTCAGCCCTAGTGCTGTTTAGTATCAAATATAGGACCAAGTGTTTCAATTTCTGTCATCCGTCTTGGACGGTGACTCCTGATTTGTGCCTGTAGTGCCTTAACCTCTCAGGGTAATCACCCACCGAGACACACTACTTTCCAAAGCAGACAGGCAGTACACAGGAGAATGAGGAAATAGCAAGGTGGAAAATTAACATTTGTAAGAAAGATTTTTAATTCCTTTTGTGTGTACATGGAGTAAGAAATCAAATGATTTAATGAAAGGAGTTGTTACTGACAGTGAATTTATGAATGTGGATACTAGAGAGACGGCTGAGTGACTAGCCTGTCTGTTCCTTACAACATGGTCAAATTTGTGTCTGTTTGACAAAGAAAACTCTTCCCCAGACTTCCAAGACTGTGTCATTATTTGAGTAACGAGTGCAGAGTTCAAAGCAGGCTGAAGCAGTTTCACTGGTTTCCCATTTGGACTGAAGCTTTGGCTGTTTGCACACGGGGACTTAGGGAGAGATGCCCCTTTCTGAGCTAAGAATAGGAATTTGGGGCAGTATGTTAGTAACATAGTTAGTAGATGAAATTGCATGTAAGAACAAAACAAATTTGTTCTTCCTTTATTTCTTCCTGCCTCTCTTTTTGACTGTGCACAAAATGAAACCTGGATCATTAACTATGGTTTCAGAAGACTTAATTCCCTTCACCTCCTTTCTGATGTTACACACTGATGGATCTTGTGTTGGTGCTTGTGGGTGGCAAAGACGGACTGACTCAGTCCTACTAACTGCTGAGCATTGATTCTCCTCAGAAAAACGAAAGCGCAGGTTTAACATTACAATCCTACTGACCTTGATCAGACTGTTTAAGGGCTTAAATTTATCACTTGCTTAAATGCTAAAACGTCTCAGCCACTCAGCACCTTCTGGAGCTGAGTCTTGAGTCCTGGGTAAAGGCAGATGGACAAAGAAAGCAGTGAATGGTGGCAACTGTTCTTTTCTGCAGAGCTTCACATATGCGTCAACTCTGACCTTCTTTTGGTTTGTTTCCATAGGTGCCACTACTGTAAATCCTCGTGTCATGTGTCCTCTCTGCGCATACCTTATGCCTGTAAACTCTTATTCCAAGAACTGCAGTCAATGAACATCATACCTCGTCTAAAACTAGCCAAATACAATGAATGAGCAAGAAGAAAACATGGAAGAAAATACTTAAAAAAAAAAAAAAGTCCAGGGTACGTGACTGGAAGATATTTTGGTGAATGTGAATTAAACCTGAGTGGGTAGAAGGGAGACATAAGACATTTGTATGAAGTCTTGCTTGTTGTCATCTGTCTGTTTTGAGTTGAGAGGTGAGCCTCAATTAGCCTGACTAAGTGGGACATGTGCGCGGGGTGGAGTAAAGCCATGGTCCAGCCAAGCACACATGTAACTTCCAAACATGTGACAACCTCAGTGCTTGGTTTCAGTTAATGCTTTGCTGGACCGGGGTTTGAGCTGAACTTAAGTGCACATCTTACTCCTATGGGTTAAAATTATGTTTTCCAGACCAGTGGAATATTGAAGAGTAATAAATATTTTAAATAATAATTGTCTGAATGTATGCATTGATGGCCACCTAAAGATGGTAAAGAATTCTTACAATGTCTAAAACATTTACTTACGCCTTGAGCATTGTCAAAGCATTAAGTTTTTATTAAGTATTGCGTGGTTTAGAGAAATGAAAGAACACATCCTGCAGAAGATTAAATGGCTCTTTTTGAAAGGAATTTGAATATGCAGGTGAAGGTGCATTTGTGGGAAGGTTGTGGTGTGATAATAGTCAGCATGCCTTCATCTAAACACATGCAGTTTCCATGAAGTTCAAGAGAGGTGATGGCATGTGCACTAAAGGCAGGGTACAGCTTACAGATAACCATTCAATTCCAATTGCCTGTAAGACTTCTAGCAATATGCTGGCTCAAAGCCCTGAAAAGACAGCCTGCAAATACTAAGATACTGTTGTACACTCTCCTAGGAGTTAAGATTTTTTTTTCTTTTACCTATGGGGCTGTCCACAGCTTTAAAAATATACTGTAAAAAACACCAGCACTCCACTGACAGTCAAGCAGGCTTGAGTGACCTTAAAGGATTTAGAGAGGGAACAGCTGAACTTTTTTATGAGATACAAGGCCCAAAGCTAAGGCAGTGGATGAACTAAGAGTTCCCTTAGTACCCTAAAGATCACTTGAGCCATTGCTCAGCCAAGCACTCTGGTTAACTCTGTAAATAGAGCTGTAGTCCTGCAGAAGTTGAGATGAAGTATAGGCATGTTCAGAGGCTCTTTGGTTCCTCAAATGGCTGCATGGTGCCTGCCAGTCCTGCTGCTGTTTTTGCAGTCCGGTTGCTGCTCTTCTTTTTGCTGCTTAAACACTCAATAATTACTGGATAGGTTTGCTTTTTCAAGCTGTCGTCAAACTGCTTAAATTAGTAGCTTTGCATCTGGGCTTACAAGTCGAGTCTGAAGGGGCAGTCTTTGGTCCAGCTGCAAAGAATTGAAGAGTAATGACAACAGAGATACTTAGAACAGCACAGTTAGATTGGAAAAAGCTGTTGAAGCATCCCTACCAAGACCAGAACAGCTCAAGGCCATTAGCAAAGACTTGCAACAGAGCTATGTACAGGAAAGACTGTCATTTGCAAATGAAGACGCTAAGCAAAAGCCCACCACCAACATAGTGAGCTCTGCTTTGCTTCCTGAGGCCGCCAAGGAGAGCAGCAGGAGCACCAGCAGAGGGTGTGAGCCTCAAGGGCTGCAGCCACCCACGGGACTCCTCACCTGGAGCCAGGAAACTGCTCTGGGATAAGGTGCTCCCTCGCTAACTGTGCTCTCCTAGCTTGGGAGGTCTGAGTTCCAGCAGAGATTGAGCAGTAGGTGGGACGGCACCTACAGAAACGTCAGCAGGCACAGCAGGAGTGTGAGGAGCGGAGGAGCGCGCAGCTGCCTCTCCTCCCACCAGGAGAGCAGCAGGAGAGCTGCTGAGGAGGTAAGGGGAATCATCTGAGGTGGCTGAAGGTGAGGAAGAACAGGGCAACCTTAGCAGTGATGTGTCCAGTAGAACACCAAAGCTAGGCCTGTCTGGCAGTAGGTGAGGATCATCACCCATGTGCTGTTCTGGTAATGTGTGAATGAAACAGCCTCTCAGTTTGCACTTGTTGCTGTCCTCCCTAGGCCTGTTTGCACGCAGGAGGCAAGATTCGAGTTCAAACTGGCTTTTTACTGCCAGCCTCTCTCCAAGAGGCTACCTCTGTTCCACCATAGTAGACACATTGAAGTGCTTTCTGGTAGTAGCAGTAGAATAAGCATTACAAAACCAGCAGAATAAATTGAAAGAACAGTTACAGACTCCTGGAATGCAATGGTCAAAATGGCAATGGAGGGAAGAACCCTATTGCAGCCAGAAGAAAGATGGCACATGGGCTGAAGGGGTAAAATACATCCCCAGAACCCTGACGTTACCCCACTGCTTGTCTCTGGTGAGCCTCATCTCTGCAACCCTTTGGACTATCTGAATATCCAAGAAGAGGGATGTGCAGGGCCTGACCAGGTTATTTCCCCCTTTCCCTTTTGATCCAGTGAACCGTCATGAGAGGTCTGAAGTCAGCTAATGACTGCGCTGCTGTAGCTGGACATTACAAGAGCAAGCCTGCCATGACAACTCTTTGTTTAATTGGTGAAAGGGATGCAATATTCTGAATAACACTTGACAGTCTTAAGGCTTTAGCAAAAGCAGCTGTGGCTAGAAAATTGCCATAAAGTTTTCATTCCATTCCAACTTCTTTATCTCTTGCTATTTAGTGTCCAGGAGAGGCTTTCTACCAGAAATGCTATTCGACAGGAAGGTTGCTAGCGTAAGTCTCAGCTGAAACACAGAATACAGCACACTTTCTGAGATAAACTAGACATCTGTTGATGTTGGAAGTAAAATCTAAATCCATGTATTACATTTAAGTTCCCACCTACTTTGTAGATCAAGGATTCAATGGTATTTAAAAAGGTAGAAGTACTTAGGAGCCTAGACTTCAGTACATAAGCCTGTTATTCCATGACAAAACAAAAGCATTAAGTAAAAGCTACCCCTCTGAATACAGTACGTGTCTGACCACACTGTTTTGTTGTGAGAGACGGAATCAAGCCAAGGAGGCTGCAGGAATTTTTTTTGATGCAGAACAAAATAGGTCTTCTAGCCATTTCTGGAACTGTGGGTTAGGAGAATCACTTGTTTAGAGTTCAGAAAAACAGCCTCACTTAGAGTCACTTATGTAACCCCAAAAGCTTCTGGGTTTTGCTTTTTTTTAAGGTAAATGTTTCCAAACATAGGAACTAAAAAAGAAAACTATAAAGAAAAATGAAAACACATTTTGGCTGATTTTGGCATTCAAAGAGGATATAATATGAAATATAGGCATACTGAGATTTAATAATTTTAAGATGTTGAAAATAAAGGGTTCCCACTATGCAAGACTGGTTTTGTTTGTAATGTCCATATCTTGTTAAGAGTTTTTCTGTACAAAGAAGCTTCAATGTTCAGTTTAGAGAACTTTTATTTGTTTGGACTCCATTGTTACCTGTTGCTTAAAAATTGAGGAAAAAAATATGCAAAACATAGATCTATTATGATGAGAAATTACTTTTAGGTGAGTTCTCAGGATATCCTGATGGCAAATACAAAAAAAAAAAAAAATCTGTGGTTTACAGCAAGTCATACTTAAAAACTTAAAAAGACTGAAGTATATTTCAGTGGTTAGTGATAAATGGCTAAAGTGCTTTGGAGCTGAAAAAAATGGTTTGTAAGCTCTCTTCAGAACATGCTTTCAAGGTCTGTTTCTAAGTATCCTTGTCATTGTACAGCTGCAAAACCAAAGGAGAGAGGCTGGAAATTTTCTGTGCTTCCTCTTTTGAGAGCCAGGATGGCCTGGGCACCGGCGAGCCCAAACCACGAGAGCCCAGCTAAGCTTGCGCCTGCCCCACAGCGCCCACAGCAGCGGTACTGGGGAGCTTCTCCACTGCGAGCGGCTCCGGACCATGGCACCGAGTGGGCTCAGCGCTGCCGAGAAGCCCCTTTCACCGGCCTCTCCTCCAGTTGGAGCTGAGGATTGTTTTACAGCCCGTTGCTGATCCAGAGGGGCCGCGGGGCACTTGATGAATTCCCTCTTCTGAAGAGGACGTGACTTGCCCAGGGCCACAGAAAGGCTGTGCCAAAAGTGGGATCAGGACTCTGCAGTCCCCAGGTGCCAGACACGTGCTTGCCTTAAAACTGAGCACTTCATCAAACCGTAAAATCCAGCCAGATGGTGACTCTTTGCTATTATCTGGACCAGGGCTGGAAGGCTTAATGTGTGCAAGACACAGTGAAGATCTGCATCCCAGTTTCTGTTTCTGAGGCTCAGAAACCTGGAAAATGGGTCCATGTATCAGATCTAAATGCTACTACGAACTTGAGCATGCTTAAGCCCAAGTTCTGAGGGCTTCAGTCAATCTTTATCATGAACAGTTCTTGAAATATTTCAATCTCAACCTGGATCCACCAGCTGCTGCAGGGACAGGCAGGGAGGAAATTACTTTGTTTTCTGGAAGAAGTAGCAAGGTGCAGGAATAAGGGCTAGCTCATTTGTCAGCCTTACTCTTCCGTATGTTCATTGACCAAGTCAGGCACACATGTATTTATAAACAGTCTCTGCCAGGTAGCAGAGCCTGCTGAATCGGCCATTCAGTCAGTTTTGCCTCTTATCAAATATTTAAAGCTCATTGTATGGGCCCAGGCATCACATAGGTCTTGTTTGCCATACATACATATGAATGTATGTACCAGGAACGTCAGAACTCTGAGGTGAACAGTCTCCAAACCCAGGCCAGAGCCAATGCAGGGACTTTTTATGGCCAGATTTTTTTGAAAAAGCAGTATAAATAGCATTGTGCCTGTGTGAGGAAAGGCAATGACAAAGATTTCTGCTGGCTACTCTGCAAGTGAATTTGGACCTTTGCTTCACCTTCAGAAAAAATCCTTCCGAGTCTGTGAGCAGGCCATTGCTGTTTGCATCTTCCTGCTAGCAGCAGCAGCAGCTTCATCTGTCATTATCAGCACTTTCGGGAAGCTACTTGCCCTAGCGATATGATTTACCATTCTAGCAGATGCATGGTAGTTGCCGTGTGTGAACAACAAAATATTTATAAACAGAAAACCGCTCTCAAACTTAGAAAAGAAATAAAACAATATTCCATGCAGCAATGTTCTATTTTTTTGCTAAAAATACTATGTGATAATGGAAATGGTTTTACCTTTTAGTGAACTGGAAACTCAGACTGCATTTG